ATGATTCTTTCTCATCATTGATGTTTCTCTCTCCCTCTCCCTCTCCTCTCTCTCTGAAATCAATAAAAATATATTATAAAGAAAGAAACAGCTAATATGACACAGGCCCTGCTCCACCCTGCCTCCTCCCACTCTCAGGGGCAGCCTGTTCAGTCTCACTTTTCCTGTGGCTCAAGGTGGGAGATGGAGGGAGCATTGGGGCGGAAGGATAGGCTTGCTGGTCAGTGTCCCACTAATTTCAGAGCTTACTGAGAGGGGTCCACGGTGGCAGGCAGAGCCCCAGGAGCCCAGGAGGGCCTGGCCCACTTTGGATTGTGCAACAGATGAGCAGATTCCATCACTGGGCACCTGCAGGGCGCCAGGTGCTGGGCCAGGTGCCACACCTTTCCCACTGAACTGTAGGCAGGTGGGCTCTAGAGCAGAAGAGTTACGCGGGTGGACTTGAATTTTGGCTCCCTCGCTACTGGCTGAGATCCTTAGCAAACGATTTAACCTCTGAGTTTCCACTTTTCCTCATGTGTAAAATAGAGGTAATAATAACACCTACCTCACAGGTGTTGTTCGCGTTCAGTGTGAAATTATGTATGAGAAGTGCTTAGCGAGGACCTGTTTGGTATAAAGTCTTAAATGGCAACCGCTGTTACTGTTATCATTGGAATTTTTGTTCGTTTGTTTATTGTTTTACCAAACTGAGTCTCAGAAAGGTACAATAACCTGGCCAAGATCCCAAGATATAAGTGGCATTTTGCATCCCAGGTGTGCTTGGACCCCTCCTCCTCTCACCCCACCAGGCCCCCTTCTCTCCTCTAACAGCCATCATTCCCTCTTTCTTGACAACCCTCAGGCAGCCTCCCCAGCAGATCAGAGATTTCTTTCACCAGCACCCCACCCTCCTGCCGCAGTCCCCGGCCCCTGGCCAGAATCCCCCTGAATGGAAACCGCTGAGTTGCACTCTGGCTCCTCGCTCTTTTAAGATGCCCCTGTTGGGTCCCTGTGTGGGTGACAAGATGATGCATGAGGCCTGGCTAAGCAGCTTATTTGTCTGAGCTGGTGATGGCCTTTGTCCTGAGGTGGGTTAATAGTAAGGGGCAGTGGCCCTTTAAAGCCCGGACAATGGACAGGCTTCTCAGGTCACCGAATCACTCAGCAAATGGCCGGAGCCCCTCAGAGCCCGGGAGGCCCCTGCCCCTTCCACTCAGTGGTAACCCTGCTCTTCATCTAGTGATGCGTGGCTCCCGCCCAGCAAGAAGAAACACTTGGATTAATGGGGGAGAAAGACTCAAAGAGGATTAGAATGACAAAGGACTTCAGAGGCGGAAACCGAGATTGAGAGGGACAAGAGCTAATTCCTGACTTGCACGGGTGACCCTGCACCCCACACTGCAAATGCTTTCCTAGCTTGCTTTCTGCCCTCCCCAAATGCATTGGGTCCCAGTGACCAGGCTGATTTCCCACCCTCACTTTTCACTATCACCTTTCAATATCGGAACCTAACTCTACAGATTACAGCTCACACTTCTTAAACCAGCGGGCAGGACCCATCAGAATTTACCCTGGTCCCTCCTTCTTAAACCTCTCTGACCTCCCCAAGCCCTCTCTCTACGTGTGGCCTTCACCACCTGCTTCAGCCGAAGCAGCTTCCTTCGGTTGGTTTCCAGCATTTGCTTCAGAGTAATAATTTGTTTAAAGAACACTCTGAATATTAAACATTTTTTTCAAAATATGAAAAAATCAAGCTTTGCATTGTATAAAGAGTGGCAAGGCTGGATTCCCAATTTCGATTTTTCTCTCAGTGTGTGTATTCATTCATTCATCCTACAAAGATTTCTTGAGCACCTACTGTGTGCCAAACACTGAGACAGGCCATGGAGAACTTACAGGAATAAGACAGGAGTGGGGCCCGGGGACTCAAGAATGCATATGTGGAAAGGGGCCACTGACGCTGGTATCTAGATGGCCAATGGTGACCTTGACAAGGACGTTTTCAGGGTCTGGAGGCAAAATCCAGAGGAGGATGGAGGGAAGATGAGAGAGGAGAGACACGGTTTAGATAACTGAGTCTCTGTGGTTGCACTTTGCGCCACGGATTATTTGCTAATTACAATGGGATAAAGGTTCCTTTATAGTGAGGAGGTCAGGACTCAATCATCACCTTAGCAAGTAATCAAACAGTAGTCAGATGAGAAGTACATTCCATCACACGCGAGATGTGCTTGTTAAGAATATTTTACCTGAGTCTAATCATGAGAGAACAATCAGACACATCCAGAATATAGGACAGTCTGTGGGGCAACTGGCCTTTAGGATCATGAAAAACAACAACAACAACAAAAGAGAAAGAAATTGGGAGTCTTGGTGTGGGTGGGAGGTTGCTCTAGATTAAAAGAGACAATAAATAAATAAATAAATAAATAAATAACAGCCAAATGCAATACTTGAATTTTGATTAGAGTCTAAGGTTTTTTAAAAAGACTATACAGAAGATACATTAGAGAGAAAGAAATTGGGAGTCTTGGTGTGGGTGGGAGGCTGCTCTAGATTAAAAGAAACTATAAATAAATAAATAAATAAATGCCAAATGCAATACTTGAATTTTGATTAGATTCTAAGGTTTTTTAAAAAGACTATACAGAAGATACATTTTGGGAAAAATGGAGGAGATTTTTAAATATGGTGTATGTTAGGTGATATTATGGAAGAATTGTTCCTTTTCTTAGTTGTGGTCATGATATTGGGGTTCAATGGCAGCCTGTCCTTACTCTTAGGAAATGGCCGCTGATGTAAACGAAGCGGCTTGGTGTCTGCAACGGTGTTTCAGATGGTCAGAAAAAAAAATTTACATATATAGAGAGAAAGCAACGTGCCAGCATATTAACAATGGACAGATTTAGGTGAAGAGTATGTGGGTGTGTTTTTGTACTACTCTTGTCGGGTTGAAAGCTTTCAGAATATAAAGTGGGGGGAATTTTTCTTAAGTTGGAGAGTGATTGGACAAGAGCAACCTAGTTTTGGAAAGGTTTCCTGGCATGGAGGAGATGTGGTCCTATTTTTTTTTTTTTAGCAAGATCCACCCTCCCCCTCTTCAAGAGCTCGGACTGTAGAAACCCTCTGAACCTCCGCAGAGAACTGACAGGTCAGCAGTTGTGATAAAACAGGCCCTTCCTGGGCGTGGAGCGGGCTTCAGCGAGGCCCTGGAGCCGGTAATGGGAACCACATTGGCGGGAGTGTGCGGAGCCCCACCCCAGAAACAGCCCTTCTGTGCTGAGACAGGACAACTGGAACGAATTATGTGCACTCATACTTGTTAAACTGCCTTGGCACCAGAAGTGATCCTCGTAACCCGAGCTTTACAGCGGCGGCCATAGTTAAAGCTGGGCCAGCCTGGCCCCCACACCCCCTCTGCTGAGGTTTATAGCTAACGCATAAAACAATTCAGCATGAGCTGAAACATGAAAAACTCCTCTGGACTGTAAAGGCAGACCTTTCTGTTTCAAGTTTTCTAGGGAGGCAGTGTTTGGGAATAAAACCTTTTCAGTCTCCTTCTGCTTTTCCAGCCCTTGGCCCAGCTCCCAGCTCCACCCCAACCCCAATCCTACGCCCCACCTCCAACCAGACCACAATCCAATCAAACACAGAAGCCCTTGCATTTTGTGGTTGGGAGGGTTCTATTGCTGCTGGGGAGTCTGAACCCTGGAGCTGTGTGGCCTCGGGCACGTTGGTTCACCTCTCGGAGCTTCAGTCTCTTGGTTATTGATATGTCATGTTTATCACAGGGTTGCCCTGTGTGAGTGTGTGGGCATTGAGTGCATGGGGCCTGTACACAAAGTGAGTGAGATCTGTAAAGAATAGTTGTCTTATTTGATCATGTAGAAAAATGTTACAAAAATTACTTGTTTTTATCTAAAAGACTAGAGGCCTGGTGCACGGATTCATGCACAGGTGGGGTCCCTCGGCCTGGCCTGCCGGGATCGAGCCAAAACTGGCTCTCCAACATCCCCCAGGGGTCTCCCTCCTCTCTGGTTCCAGGTGCGTCACCCAAGAACTGCAGCTGCCAAGTCACTGCAGCTCGATGGTCGGACGTTGGACCGTCGCTTAGGCTTTTATATATATAGACTAGAGACCCGTTGCAGGAAGATTCCTGCAAGAATAGGGCTTCACCCCCGTCTTGGCCGTTCCTACCCCGCCCTTCTCTGCAGCTTCTCTCCCGCCCGTCTCTGCCACTTCTCTCCTGCCCGTCTCCACTACCTCGGCTCCGTTGCTTGGCTTCCTTCTACGATGTCTTCAGTCTTCGCTCCCAACCGGTATATGCAAATTAGCCACCATCTTTGTTGGTGGTTAATTTGCATATCACTCTGATTAGTCAATGGTGGATGTAGTGAAGGTCAGTCAATTTGCATCTTTGTCTATTATTAGATAGGATAGTCAAAGTGCAGTTCTCAATGGAAGAGAAATTACATGGAAAGCCATGGGGAAAGAAATTGATTTTATTCTATTATTAAGAATTGTTGGTATAAGGGGGAGAGGGAGGACGTGGATAGGATTTGAAGTCACATAGGCCTATGTTCAAACCCTCTAGGAGCTTCAGTCTCTTGGTTATTGATATGTCATATTTATTGCAGGGTTGCCCTGTGTGAGTGTGTGGGCATTGATTGCATGGGGCCTGTACACAAAGTGAGTGAGATCTGTAAAGAATAGTTGTCTTATTTGATCATGTAGAAAAGTTTTACAAAAATTACTTGTTTTTATCTAAAAGACTAGAGGCCCGGTGCACGGATTCGTGCACAGGTGGGGTCCCTCAGCCTGGCCTGCAGGGATCGGGCCAAAACTGGCTCTCCAACATCCCCCCAGGGGTCTCCCTCCTCTCTGGTTCCAGGTGCGTCACCCAAGAACTGCAGCTGCCAAGTCACCACAGCTCGGCAGCTCCTACATTGAGCGTCTGCCCCCTTGTGGTCAGTGTGTGTCATAGCTACCGGTCAGACGGTCAGACTGTTGGACCATTGCTTAGGCTTTTATATATGTAGATAGCCAAAGTGCAGTTCTCAATGGAAGAGAAATTACATGGAAAGCCACGGGGAAAGAAATTGATTTTATTCTATTAAGAATTGTTGGTATAAGGGGTGGAGGGAGGATGTGGATAGGATTTGAAGTCACATAGGCCTATGTTCAAATCCTAGCTATGCCAGTTCCTGGCAGTGATCCAGGCAGGTTAGTTGTCCATTCTGAGCCTCGGTAGCTCTGTCTGTATAATAGGGTACAGTAACCCAAAGCAGCAGGTGAGTAAGGAATCAGCACCCTTTATGAAAAGCTCTTAGCCCAGCACCTAGCAAATGAAGCATTTGATGAACAGAGATGCTTCAATTCATACTGAATCTGAGATGAGGAAGACTCCCGATAGCCAGGCCTGTCTCTCAAATGTTGTTCTTGAGCACGAGGAATGACAGACCAAGGGCAGCCAGCTGACATCAACAGCCCTACCCTGCAGACCTACAGACGGATGATGAAAATGCACTGTGATTCCCGCCCTGTGAGGCTGTCTCTCTGCCTAGCCCTTTAAGCTACGAGGGGTTTGATGGGCTGGGAGGACACTGACGATGAGAAGAAACTTGAATTTGCTCAATTTTAAGCAAGGCTACAGGTTGCTCTTTCAGATAAAGCCCAGTGCCCAGACATCTGTGTGTCAGGCAAAGGAGACAATTTCTGCTGGCCTGGTTCTTTTGGCAAAGACGACTAGAGATGGGTGGGAAGCTGTGGACCAGAATGGGGGTCCTTCCTTTTTTCTGCTTGAGTCAGGATTAAGCAACCCCAAGTTGCTTCATCGTTGAAGGTTCAGCATTTTAATTGGAGTCACCACAGGTCACTTACAATCCCAGCTCTGCCCCCAATATCCGTGTGACACCGTGAAGTCCCTCTCCCTCCTTGGCCCTCACTTTCCTTGTCTGAGAAGGACCAATAAGACCACCTGCTCTGCCGGCCTCCCAGCCTGTCCCGTGGCTCCTGTGAGAGGCAGCCCATGAAGGTATGAGAGCTACACAGAGGGCGGCGGAGGAAGGTGGTCCCAGGAGCGTGCCTAAGGGCTCTAGGTGCTTCCCCAAAAAGCTATATGCACACAGAGGATGTTATTACTAAAATCCTCAGTGAACAGAATATTTAGTACATGGGAACATTGTAAGTACAAGGTAGCGGAGAATACTAACAGTTCCTTACCCTCTGTTACCCTTAATTTATTCTGGTTTTTGTGCATTAAAGGAGCACACCTGGATTGTCAAGGCTTTCAAGCAGGTTGAATATGCCATCACTAGAGATCTAGGTATATTCCTTTAATAGAAAAAAAAAAGATTTTCAAATATGACTTAAAAATCACTATCCTCCTGGACAGGTGAGAAGTTATGACAGGCAATGAAATGATGTGTGTTTGCTGAGCGTGTATGTCTCCTGCTTGAAGCAGAGGAAGTAATCTACAAAAAGGGGCAGATGAGGGTAGAAAGGAGCTGGACTTGCTTCCTGCTCATTTGCAGGTTGGGCTGAACATCTTTGCGTTTGTGGAGATAAGACAGCTGGGCATACCCATCCCCAAACCCTCAACCTCCACACCAGGGTTCCTTTCCTTTTCTGTCTCACTTGTTTCAAGAATCAAGATCCTTACAGTGAAGAAGAAGGAGAAGGAGAAGGGAAAAAGATAAAAAATATGAACAAGAACATGGCTGGGACATTTTTTAAGACATATCTACCAACAATTGAATCTAAAAAAATAAAATAAAATAAACAAACAAGCAGAATAGAAACAGACTCGTAGATACAGAAAACATTTTGCCAGTTGCCCAATGGGAAGGAGTTTGGGCGGTTAGGAAGGTGAGAAAAGGGAAGGGATTAAGAAGTACAAATTGGCCCTAACCTGTTTGTCTCAGTGGATAGAGCGCCGGCCTGCGGACTGAAGGGTCCCGGGTTCGATTCCGGTCAAGGGCATGTGCCTTGGTTGTGGGCGCATCCCGGTGGTGTGCAGGAGGCAGCTGATCGATGTTTCTCTCTCATTGATGTTTCTAACTCTCTATCCCTCTCCCTTCCTCTCTGTAAAAAATCATCAATAAAATATATTTTTTAAAAAGTACAAATTGGTTGTTACAGAATAGTCATAGGGATGTAAAGTACAACATAGGGAATATAGTCAATAATATTCTAATAACTGTATATGGTGTCAAATGGGTGCAAGATTTATCAGGATGATCATTTAGTAAGTTATATCTGATCACTGGGACGTGCATCTGAAACTTATATAAGAATATATGTCAACTGTAATAGAAAAATAAGAAAATGATTTAAAAAAAAAAAAAAAAGATCCTTCAATACATGCCTCTTCCAGGACTGAAAATTGTCCAAAAGTTGGGGGGAGGTGATATTACCCCCTCCCTTGAAGGGCCCCGGCCCCAGCTGGGGGGCTGCCCCCTGCAGACTGGGAACAGCTGTTTGTTGACTGAAAGGTCCACACTCTCTAAGGATCTTTAGCTGAGGTTCCCTTCATTGGGACCAGCAGCAGATGCACATTTCTGGGATGGGAAGAAAGAGTGACCGAAAGGCCCTTAGAGGGGTGTATGCCAGCTTTTGAGAAGAGAGTTTCGTGGGATCAGAAAGTGTGGTCAGAACCGCCACTGTGTTTGGAGCCCAGAGCACTCTCAGCCTCACAGGCCTTCTCTCGGAAACACCCAGGTCTGAGGAGAGGCACCGGCTGTGGAGTCAGCCAGTCCGCCTTAGAGCACTGCGTATACAGTTTGTAGCTTCGTATCATTAGACCATCTATCTCCCTCTCTGAGTTTTAGGGATAATCATTTGTGCCTCAGGGGGCGGGGAGGTGTTTACGGGATTCTGGTAGGTAGTTATCTGCGAAAAGATGAGCAGGGAGCCTGGAGTGTGTTATACGCAAGAAGAACCCATCCTTTCGCCCACAGGCTCTGGGAGGATGGACCCCCGTGACTGCCCACAGAGCAAATAAGGGGTCTGAGAAGTGGGAGGTGGATGAGCGCTGTCCTCTCAGCCCACAAGGCCCTCCTGGGCTGTCCTGGCAACACCACACATCTCCATGTGTATGTGCTCAGGGATGCGAGGAACCCCTTCACAGGATTGTTTTGGGGATCCAATGAGATCATGTGCACAAAGGTGTCAAGCTCAGTGCCTGGCACATAGTAGATGCTCAGAAAATGTTGACTCTTACGAAAAAAAGAAATCTGGCTAAAGACGGGCCAAGAATGCAGCCTGTGTTCTGTCACAGCCAGCTCCCTGCCCGCTCCAGGGACAGCTTTGCGAGGTGAGAATGAGTCAGGGCAGCCTCGGGCGGGCTGCGGGGAGAGCCTGCTCTGGATTGCACGACACATTGGGGTGGGCGCCAAGAGCCAAGTGGTCCATGTTCCATGTCTGCCCTGCCCCAGCACCTGCTTCTAGGGGGATCCCAGCTGGCACCCTGCCAGGGCTTGCCTGCCTGCCTCCCAGCCCTGAGGCCGGGCCACTTCCAAGTCACATCCAAATGGAGAGGTCATGACAAGACCTGATCAGAACAGCCTTTCCCTATTGGACACTCTTACCCCACCCGCCCTGTTGGCCTGGCCAAGTGCTTTAATCAGATCCCTAGGCCTTCGCATGGGGGCCCACCTGCCATCCATCAGTGTGCCTCTGTGTCCTCAGACATGCCCGGCCCCATTCACAGCTCCGCACTCCTCTACAGGAGCACCTCGGCTAGGCACCTGTGGTCCTAAGTGCTCCTGTGTCTCTTGTCTCATTTAATTAGCACAGCAATTCTGGAACACCGGCATTCTTCCCTTTTCACCGGAGAGATGGAGCAATTCGCCTAAGGTCAGGTAGCAGGCGGGTGGCCAGCCCATGCCGCTGTGGTGCAAAGTCTCTGCGCCCACCATACCGAGGGCCCCAGGAAGGGAGAGCTCCATGGCTCCACTGGCTTGAGGGACACGCCTGCCCGGGCACCCAAAGTGCAGGAGGTTTGCTGCCTCTTTCACTGGACAAAGTGAGGCAATTTGTCAGGGTCTTTGATTATTCTTAGGCAAAGGGGCTCAGGCGAAGACAGCTCTTGGCTTTCACAGAGAATGGCTTGAGGGTGCTATTTCGGGTAGGCCGAGGACCAGAGTGCAGAGAAAGCAGCTGTAGAGATTGGGGTAAGTGCTTGGCTTGTCAGAAAGATAATCCCCCCACACCTGTGCCCTGGAAACACAATCCAGGCCTCTGAGATGCACTTTCATCTGTCACCAGGGTGTCCCCAGGGTGACCTGCCCAACCGAGTCCAAGCTGGTAGGGCTCAGGTTACAGGGCCCATTCTCAGGGCCCTTGAGTCCCAACAATGCCTGTTTGTCCTCTGGATCTGCCATCTCCCAGGAGGAATGTTAATGGGACCAAGAGTGGAGGGGGATGGGAGGGGAAGAGGCTGACTTCAGTCTGAGCCCACTCTCAGGTCCCCTCTTGAGTGAACTCATCCGTGCGTGTCTGCTAGTCCTTCCAAGAGACGCTTAAACCAGCTCCAGGAAACAGAGATTTGCCCTCCGCTTTTCTTGGATGCACCGCCACGCCTCCCTCTGTTTAATCTGGGACTTTGTCCCTTGGCAGAGCTTGCAATCCACCTCAAGAAATATTTTCAAAAGCAGAAAAACTGAAAATGACTTGAATGCCCAATAATAGGAAGTTGGTAAAAATAACATCTCTGTCCCTATGATGAAGTTTAGCTAGCCATTAAAATCATGTTTTCAAATAATATTTAAAGATACAAAAAACCTCTTACAGTATCATGTTAAGTAGGGGGAACGTTGGATAGAAAACTGTCTATACAGTATGAACTCATTTGATAAGTATACATACATGTACCTATGCCACATACCGTGGCAGTATAAGATTTCCCTTACCCAGGGAGTGTTAACAGCAGTTAATACTGGGTGTTGTGGCTGCGATAGGTTTTGGTGTGTGTTTTTTCTTTGTACTTTTCTCTTTCATACATTTTCTAATGAAAACATTACTTGAGTGTAAAAAAAACCACAATTATTTCTTAAAAATTAATGTCTTTCACTCCTGCATATGCCAGGCATTGTGCTAGGTGCTGAGGGTAAGAGATTTAGAAGAAGCTGGCATCTGCCCTCTATGAGCTCATAGCCTAGGAGGCCATAAAAATACACAGGCAGATTTCTTAAAAGGTTGTTTTTAACAATAGCAGCAGCAACAACAATTATACTGACGTGTTTGTTCCAAGTGCTAGGGAATGTTCTAAATGCTTTATGTATATGTACATTTAAATCCTACAACTTCATGAGGTAGGGAGTTACTAAACCATTTTACAAATACCTAATACAGGCTGCTGTAGGAAAAGAGAGATGGATTCTGTCTTGCGGGATCGGGGAGGCTGCAGTCAGGAGTTGGAGCTGTAGCTGATGCTTCCTGCATAAATGGGAGTTCTCCAAGCAGACCAGAGAACACCAGGGACAAGAGAGTGAGACATCGCTATGAAATGATTAACCCCACACTCTTTCCTCCCCAATGAGAAGCTAGGAAGGCCTTCGGGACCACTTTGTTTAGGACACAGAAGAGCAGGCTGAAAAGTTTAAGCCTAATTCCATTAGGCAGTGGAGAGCCACTGAGGAGCCCCGACCTGGTCAGCTCCGCATTGGAGAAAGATCCTTCATCCTTCTGGCTTCTCATTTTCCGTGAAAAGCTCTGCTGTGTGTGGAGGGAGACGTGATTCTCCGGGGACTGAGGGTTGCAGGAAAATCCAGCTCTGTTCCAGCTGAAGTAGCAGTGCCAGAGGAAGGAACCGGCGGGGGGCCGTGGCAGTGTGAGATTTCCCTTACCCTCATCTGCTCCTAGAACGTCACTGCAGCCCCGTGGAATCCGGCCCCAGGATGAGAGCTGTTGGTGCACGGAAATGTGTTTACCACCTAGACTGGGAAAAGGTGTTAGTGCCGGAAGAGAAACCTGGGAATTCCAAATGGACTTTTGGGCTTGAATGCAATTTCTGTGCTTAATTAGCACGTCTGTTTTTGCCATAAAAACAAGGGAAAGCCTTGTGTGGCAATGCTATAGGTGATTATATTCCAAGCTTGGTTGGAGCCGCCTTTATTACAGCCGTCCCCAAGCCCCTCACTGTAGCTTTGACAGAGTGCTGGAGAGTGGAGTCCCTCCTTGGTTTCCTCTGCCATGTCTTAAGTTAACATAGTGGTTACCAGATGATGTGCTTGTCCATGGGGGTTCTGCCAGCAACAAAAGAGACAATCAGATGATGTAGGGGGTTCTTCATCAGGATCTTCTCTTATTCTAACACTAGAGGCCCAGTGCACAAATTTGTGCACATTGAAAGGAAATTAATTAGAAGAAGTATTTTAATATCACTGTTTGCCCTTTCTCTGTAATAGAAGTGTCAACCAAATTAATCAACAATGACAGGTGGAAACACACACACACGCGATTGGCGCCAGCGAGAGCTTTATATATAGATAAACTTGTTTAATTAGACCGGCTTTCTGATTTAGCTAACCTTTGTCCAGCCCAGTGAAGCCCCCCAACTCTCTTTCAGGCAATTGTCAGCAACACAGCAGTAAATATCAACATGAAGCATATTATTATTGTAGATCACATAGGGAGAACAAAGGGTGAAATATTTAACTGCAGCAGTGTTTGACTATATTCTGCACAGTGAGAAAACCTGAAGTCATTTTCAAGTTCCACCATTTCTTTCTTCTCTTCAGTCGGGTCAAGTTTCTAAACTTTCTAAATCTCAGTTTTCGGGCTAATGAAAAGAAAATAGGATTCTACCGAGTCTCCTAACTACTTACTCCAGGACTTCTGTGAGGGTCAAATGAGATGAGGCACATGAAAACAGTTCACAGACAGTTCACCAAAGGTTAAAGTGCAAAATGTTTGCACCTGGCTGTAAAGCAAGTCGTGTTCCTGGGCTGAAGAAACTCAAAGGAAGCTAGTCGCTAGCGAATGGAAGCCCGGTGATGTCATTACGTGGCACCCACAGCCACCATTTCTGAGCTGGGCTGGGCTGTGGGCCACATTTTGCGCCATGGGGTCTCGGCAGCATTGGCTGCAATTTGGTGGATTGTTGCTCCAGGGTGTGGCGGGATCTGTGTCCCACTTGGGGGAAGTCGAGTGTTGCTTTGTCGATGCCGGTCCACAGTGCAGTCTCTTTGTCAATGGCCAGGGTGCACCACAGCAGCTCCTACGTTTAGTGCCTGTCCCCTGGGGGTCAGTGCACATCATAGCGACCAGTCGGACAGTCAGAGGGACACTTAGCATATTAGCCTTTTATATATATAGATGTTCCCAAGTATACTGTTCCCACCAACAGATTAATGAAGCCACTGAGATAGTTATAGACATACTAGAGATGTCCAAAAAAATTTTATGACAAATAACTGCCTATTAAATGTGAACATTACACATTTGAAGTACATATACTCTTGAATATACATATATTCAACCTACCTATCAAATTATCATGTCCAAAGATTTGAAATATTTCTTCTCTAATGCTTTTCCTCCATATGAAAACCATGATAGAATTTTAGAGTTTACTTTTCTCATTTTTTAGGAAAAATATATAAAATAAAATTACTAAAGTAGTGGGATTGAAACTGAAATGTGGGGTATTGAGTCCCAGTTCATTGTCTTGTGAAATCAAAGGACGTTGTGGACAAAAACTGTTAGCAGAACCAAAGTGTATTGAGAGAAGCCAGTCCTGAAAAAGGGGCATCTGAGGTTCCAGAAACAGGCCAGTGTCCAGAGCTTCCTTTCCATGTTAC